TAACTCAGGCTATTGCTTGTACCTTGCTTGATCATCCAGGAGAGCACTACCTCTCAAATGTTAAACTTCATACTATTCTATGTTATTCTTTGGTATAAACCTTCTCCAATTAACTTCATTTGTCCATGGAATTTGACATTGTTGCCTCATTCCTCCACTCTCCATTTCAAAAATATCAGTTAGCCCTATTTGTTCTTCAATTTCGTGTAGGAGCTCTTTTCTCTGCCTCTTCAGTGGTTTCTCTCCTTTTATTCACTCTTTTAATGTCAAGCATTATTCTCAGGGCTTGTTTCCCCAATCTACATCACAGATACAAACGTGCCCTTAGCCTGCACAGTGCTGATTCACATAGTGGTTTAAACAAAATTAATTAGTTAGCGCCACTGAGGGATGCTATGGCTGGGAAATGGACCTGAGATTGTCCTGTCTTACATTATAAACTTGGAAATGTGCTCAAATAGTTTTGCCTCAATTACTAGGCTGGCTTCTCATGACTGGTAGTGTTTTCTTTCTGTACACCTGGTATCATCACCAGTGTGTATCTGGGGGTAACTTTAAGGCACTAGGAAGTTTACACGACCATACATGAGAACGTACACTATCTCTTGCTTTGTATAGGCTTCTCTCTAATTTCCTACATTAACTGCCATTGAAGAAAATGTATATCTTTAACTATCTATTGATCTTATAGACCTATTAACAGTTTCCTATATGTGAAAATTAGGAGAGTTCTCACAAGAGTCCAGAGTCTGACTTCACTTGAAAAATCAAATGGTCTGGCAATCGTTAGCCCCTCCTTTCCACATTTCTGCATTTCCACAGGCAGCAACCTCCAAACCTAAGAGTGGCTGCCATCTTTAGACTGGTCATGTTTAAGATATCCTTTCTGTTTCATTCATTTCACATGATCTTCCTGACCCTGAAGGATGTGAGCTTAATAATGCACATACTATATATAGTCAGTACTTTAATTCAGCATTTATATAGGGATTAACCTATATCTCCAATAATAAAACCACCTGGGAGTTACACAGTGGGATGGATTGAACACTGCCCCTCTCCCCCCAAATTCATACTTTGAAGCCCTAACCATCAATATGATTATATTTGAAGAAGGGCCTTTACAGAGATAATTAAGGTTAAATGAGGTCATAGTGGTGGGGCCCTACTCTGATAGAACTAATGTCCTTATACGAACAGGATGAGATGTGAGAGATCTTCCTCTTTCTCCCCAAGGGAGCACAGAGGAAAGGCTGTGTGAGGACATAGCAAGAAGGTGACTGTCTACAAACCAGGAAGAAAGCTCTCACTGGACAATGACTTCTCCAGCACTGTACTCATGGATGTGTAGCCTTCAGTACATACCTGTTGTTTAAGCCACCCAGGCTGTGTATTTTATCAAGGCAGCCTGAGCAGAGTACTACACACAGACCAAAACCCAGGTTCCTTGAGAAATGGTGTCCCCATTCCCACTCTCCAACTAGAAGCTCATCACTTCCTGAGCAGTCTACCTGTCTTTGTGCCATCTCTCTTCACTATTTGCTACAGGTGAGTTATTTTTTAAAAATAATCAGTATAACACATGCTCTTGCTTTGAAATGTAAAAATAAAACTAATTAAAATTAGTAAAATAGCTCCTTATCACTTACATTTACCAATTTACTAAAATGAACCAAGCACTAACATTTTTCATTTTATTTAAAAGACCCCTGACTAAGGTAGCCGGGAAACTGTTAAGTACATGAGGTAAAGGGCCCAAGTCCTTGTACTGCTATAACCACTAAGTGAAGGCATTAGGCAAAATCAGCATTTCTTAAAATATCACAGGAACAAATTATTATAGAGAAAAAAGTGGGGGAATCAGTGATTAAAAAAAGCTTTTAGGGAGCACTGAATTAAATCTTAACAGTTTTCATTTTGAAATACAGGACTTCTGAGTATCTTTTTTGAGTAAAACTAAGCAAAGACATATTCCTTAGAGCTATTCTTGCCTATCCTCTTTGGAATGGATATCAGAATTAAGAAAGCTTTATGAAACAACATCCTGTATGAGGAGATTTTTAAATTAACAGAAGGACTTACACAATTATAATATTTAATACTATGCATTTTTAAATTATGTACATCCCAAATCACTTCCTGAATATAGAATTTAAAAGAGCTTCAGACTTATGATACAATAAAAGAGAAACTGCTATCTCTACTGAGAGCAGGATTTTCCCTATTACCTTATTGGTGTTTAATATATACAAGTGATTAAAGTGGTTTTTGTATTCCTTAAATTCTACAATTCTTTCAAAAATGCAATTCTCAGAAGCTGGATCTAACAAATGGAGACAACTTATGTCAGGTACGACATGTCATAATTTGATTTAATTTAAAGATTAGTGCCAGTGTTATTTTAATACTCTCCCTTGACAGAGAACAGCTAAAATAGTGAATAAAAACTTCAAAATGTCATTTTTTTAATGTTTAAATGTTCATGCCAAGTGTTCATGTTTTCATCAACCTGGCATCTGGTTGTTAATTTTAAGATAGTGATTTGCTAACTTTAGTATCCATAAGAATTGCCTAGAGGGCCTGTTCAACACTGCAGAGTTTCCCCTTCAGTAAATCTTGGATAGAGCTATTCTGCATTTCTATCAAGTTCCCAAGAGATACTGATGCTGCTGATTTAGTTACCACACTTTAAGAACCACTGCTTTCACAGGTCTCAATTTATCAGACACACATCTGGGTTTTCCCCATTGGTCTGAGGTTCCTCAGCCAGGCACCAAGCTGAGCCTTATAGGAGCAAGGAGAGCTGGTTACCCCAACGATCTCCAAAATAAGGCTCCTTTGTATCGATTCCTAGGTTCTGCCACCACAATCTCATTTCCTAAAGACCAACAGACTGTCCCCCACCTTTAATATTTTCTACTGTCAGCTAAGAATGTGTAGGTCCTTAGTTTCAAAATGTAGTCCATATTGTGGATTTCTTCCCCTTGAAACACTGCTTCCTGTTTTTCCACATAACCCCTTCCCTCTCTTACATAATATCCTTGCAGAATGTTGGCTCTGGCCTCATTTGCCTCTCTACCCAGTTGAACTCTATTGCTAGCTGTATATGAATATATATAGCTTATATTCATTCCTTTGTTCTTTCACTCCATAAGCATTAGCTAAAATCTCAAAATATAATGAATGTGACAAAAATTCTGCATTCATGGGCTTACATCATAATGGGGGAGATATAAGATAAGCATGTAAACAAATAAGTAAGTATGACATATTCCAGGAGCGATGCGATACATTGAAGAAAATATTATAAGGTAATGGGTAAGAAAGTGCAAATCAAATGTATCTTAGCCTCTCTGGAATCATTTCTCTGAGAAGGCAGCATTCAGCTGAAATTGAAATGTTGTGATGGAGGAAATAATGCAGCAAATGTAGAAAAGGGCATTTCAGATGGAGGAAGCATCAATTCAAGAGCAGAAAGGAGTCCAGGCTGGTTGAAGGAGTCAGGAAGGGAAAATGGTTGAAGAGTTCATGTTGGTGGTTGGGGAGTCAAAGTTTTTCATAATCCTTTTGTAACCACCTGCTTCTCTCACACAAACCTGGTCTACAGACTAGATATGTCTATCCTACTCTCCTAGTGGAAACTGTCCTCTGGCCAACAGGAGTGAAAATATCAACAGCATTATGTGAAGAGCATTTGGAGCCCCAAATCTCCTCCTTGCCTCAGCTCAGAAGATGGCTGCCATGTCTATTCTCACCTCAGTAGAAGTCTACGGTTTTATTCTCCGGAGAGGTCTCTGAACTACAGGATACCAGGCACATACTCAAACCCTTAACCCCTCACTCCTAACCCCAACCCTAACCCTAACGCTCTGGAGGGGTCTCTGAACTGCAGGATACCAGGTACATACCTTCACCCTAGATCTGAGAGCGTGGCTTCCTGAACACATGATAAGAAAAGCTGAGAAACAGCCTACTTATCCTGGAGAAGACCCCAAATATTTAAAAATTGGTGGTATTTCTGAAAATGGGTATGAAGGTAGAGATAAAAATAGAAGGACTAATTGAATATCTATTTAAAGAGTATTTAGAGTCCTAAATCCTCCCCCCGCCAAATACATCAACAGCATTTGAGTGAGGAGAAACAGACGACTAATATCAGAATTCAAGCCTTTTGAGTGGGCTATGTTAAAATGCGCAATGAATTGTGCACAGTTCTTAACTTCAGAATGTGGATGCACTAAGTCACAACCTTTTGTCCTCTTACTCAATGCTGATTTTAGTAAAGAACCACTCTAGGTATTGATATATCATAGTTTAAGAAATGGCAATCCCTTCCTGATGAATAAAGTCAAAATTTTGAGTGAAGAGAGGGCAAAATCAGGTCAGAAGGATGTCTTACAATATTATTTTACAAGAACAATATTCTCTAACAGCAGTGATTCTGATCAAATTGACATAACAACTTCCAGCAAAATCATAACTAGCATATGAAGCAAGCACGCACACATGCACATACACACACACACACCTTTAAACAATCTGAAACAATTACAAAACAGAAATTAGCCTAAAGCAAGAATTGTATGCTTTCAACAAACCCCTCAAGAAAAGCATCAAGTTTATTATACCTGATAATTTGAATTATGTTTTAATCATTATATCATTAGCCTCCAGGTAAATCTGATAATATCCAAACCAAAACAAACTTATCAGGCAGAGGTCTTTTCAAGGAAAGAATATAAGTCTATGTGTATCATTTTGCTTTTACAGATGTTAAAATTTGCTGCCACATAACTGAAAGTTGTTAAATATTCTCACCAATGCAGTAAATAGAGCTAAACAAGTCTTGTAAGAAAAACCAGTTTAGTTTTTTAAAATATTTCAAAATAATTATTATATTGAAATAAAAAGTCCTTTGACTTATACTGTCAAACTCCTAGGATCTCATTTATGAAATTGCTTTATGTGGTTCTCACCATTGTACATGCTGATAGCATTACCTGTCTGCATCCACTGTCACATCATGAACTCCTCTCTGGATGACCTCTCTGGAAGTGGCTGTGTCCGGTATTCGGTTCAGACTTCTAGTATACAGGTTGAGCCCTCCATCTGTCATGTACCTGAAAATAAATGTGTAATTAATCAACAGAAAATTAAATGATCTCATCTGTATAATTTAACTTAATAAACAGTGTTCACAACTTTCAATAATTATGCAAATGTGCTTTATTACAGTTTTTTCTATATAAACATTTTACTCACCAGGAAGAATTAGAGTATTTTTCAAGTTTATTAGGAAATCAATCTTCCTTACTACAACAAATAACTAGCCTATGTAAAACCTTCATTTTTTCCCCTTTTGTTACCAAAATTTTGAACAGTCTTGGAGATAATTTAACATTTGAAAAATAAGAGCAAGATCATTTCATTTTGTAAATACCATTTTTGAAGCACTGAAAGTCATAGGAGTAATGGAATATTACTAAACTTAAAATTAGATTAAGTTATTTGGTAAGTAATATGTATTGACCACAAGGATAAAATAATAGCCAAGATGCATTAAATGTTTACAATGTTGCCAGGAACTGTTCTAAATAGCTTACATGCAACACTTATTATCACCACATTAGAGAAAGAAAATAAGTAAGCACAAAAAGGTTAAGTAACGCAATGCTACTCAACCAGTCATGGCAGAACTAAGACATAAATCTAGAAAGTGGGCTCCACAATGATCTTAACCACCATGCATTACTATCTGAAGTGAAGGGCCATACTGTCTGACCCACTTCGTGTCTTTGAGAACTTCCTTGCCATCACAGGACCACCACCATTGCGAAGGGATGGTAGACCCCAAGAGTTATATTACTATTGGTAATCTTGCTTCCTCGGCTGTGGAGGACTAGGACACATTGTTTAATCTCCTACCCTATGCTGGGCTAATCAGGTTTTTCTTTCTTGAGAACTAGGATTAAAAGGCAGCTCTCCTCAGTCTTTCTGTGTGAATAGAGTTGATGATAATGAACGCCCAGGAGATGTATTTTTCTCCAGCAGATGTAAGGAGCCACAGAGAAAGCTGGTCAGCAAAGTAAAAACAATGACCCAGGTGCACAAAAGGAAGCAGAGACACTTGGCCCCGTGGTTTCAACTTCACAACTTGTCCTTGGGTTCTAAGAGATATTCTTGCTTCTTTATAATCATGTCTCTAATTTGCTTAAGCAAATTTGAGTTGATTTCACTTTTTGTAATTAAAAATATTTAATCATGGCCATATTGAAGACTAACCAAATAGTTAAAGCTAGGATTATGAAACTGGCTAATTACTTACAAGATCAATAAATTCTGTCCTTACTAATTGAAGGAGCTTGAACAAGTTTCTTTCTTTTTTTTTTTAAAGATTTTATTTATTTATTTGACAGAGAGAGACATGCAAGAGAGGCAACACAAGTAGGGGGAATGGGAGAGGGAGAAGCAGGCTTCCCGCGGAGCAGGGAGCCCGATGCGGGGCTCGATCCCAGAACCCTGAGATCATGACCTAAGCCGACGTCAGACGCTTAACCAACTGAGCCACCCAGGCCCCCCCCCGAACAAGTTTCTTAAACTCTGCCTCAATTTCTTCCTCTGAAAATGGGAAGAATAAAATCTGCAGGTAGATTTTATGATAAAGGAAAAATACACAAAGCTCTTTATATGAGAACCTTATAACAGGTAGCTACTTGTTATTCACAAAGTCTCTTCCACATATTTTGAAAAGGAAACAGATGAGTTTTATATACAAAACACTAACTAGTTCTACTGCATTATCCTTATAAGGGACTCTACATAGTGAGTTTTCCTGATCACTAAAGAATTTAATCCCACCAAAACAGAAAAAATAAAGGAGGACTTTGGCTCCAAAATGTATTGAACACTGATATACTCTTTTAAATAAGAAATACTAGCTATAATTTAACTTTTTTTATAACTAATTCATGATTAGGAGCATCAATTAAATTAAACAAAGAGTGAAGGGATATTTGTTCTTCTTGTGTTTTAATTTGTCAGCTGCCCCATGTTGGTGGTGTGTTTCAGGGCTTATTCTTACTTCCAATTTCTTATCATATTTCCCACACAGTTTTCAACCGGTATCTAAATGTTTTTATTGACTTGTAGGGCGGAGTGTGTGGAAATTCCTGGTAAAGTAAAAGTGTATATTGGCAAATCCCCCCTCCCCTTTTTTAAACTGCCGACATGCTTAATCCTAACCTTAACCTTGGAGGAAGTTGTAACAATGTATACATGTTATGCTTCATGTATGTCTCATTGGTCTGTCTTCTTCATCTGTATATCTCCAAAATTGTTTAGCAAAGTGTTTTGTATATAATTGGGGATCAACAAATATATTATGTTTGTTCAGCTGGATTCAAAAGGCTTCCATATTGTAAAAAAAAAAACAAAAAAAACATCATAGCTGATTTCAGTAATTTTACCCATGATGGTGTTGCATGAAAACAAGAAATAAGATGACAGATCACTTCTACTAGAAACATAACCTTTCAATTATTCAATACTTACAGAAGAGTAAGTTCTATAGACATAGGTCAACTGTTCTGAAAACTGATTTCAAAAAAAAAATACGTTTAAAAGTTCCATAAATTAAGAAAAAAAACTATTTTTTCAGGAAGCATTTTAAAGGATATTCATTTTTCTTGGGCCCTTCAATTTTCTAGTTAATATCAAATAGGCTTACAACAGGTATTAATTGAACCAAAAAAATACTCAGTTATAGTTCCTCTGTTTACACAGACACACTCTCATTTGAATGTTAGTAGGGTATTTTCATAACAGAACCATGATTCGGTTACTTAAAAAACAACATACAGTATTGAGGTTCCTCAAGAAGTTAAAAATAGAGCTACCCTACAACCCAGCAATCGCACTATGAGAGATTTACCTCAAATATACAAATGCAGTGATCCGAATGGGCACCTGCACCCCAATGTTGATAGTAGCAATGTCCACAATAGCCAAACTATGGAAAGAGCCCAGATATCCATCGACAGATGAATGGATAAAGAATATAAGATATATGTACAATATTACTCAGGTATCAAAAAGGATGAAATCTTATTACATCGATGTGGATGGAACTGGAGGGTATTAGGCTAAGGGAAATAAGTCAATCAGAGAAAGACAATTATCCACAATATATGTGGAATATAAGAAACAGAGCAGAGGATCATAGGGCAAGGGAGAGAAAACTTAATGGGAGGAAATCAGAGAGGGAGACAAATTATGAGAGACTGTTAACTCTAAGAAATAAACTGAGGGTTGCTGGAGGGGAGGTGGATGGGGGGATGGGGTAACTGGGTGATGGACATTAAGGAGGGCACATGATGTGAAGAGCACTGGGTGTTATATGCAACTGATGAATAACTAAACTCTACATCTGAAACTAATGACGTACTACTTTATGTTGGCTAATTGAATTTAAATTAAAAAAAAAAATTGGCTTTTGGGGGCGGAGCAAGATGGCGGAGGAGTAGGAGACCTGGATTTCGTCTCCTCTCAGGAATTCAGCTGGATAGGGATCAAACCATTCTGAATACCTACAA